TTTTATAAAAAAGTTAACACATTAGTATTTTATTTTTTTTCTTCTCCCAGGAATAATCTCGACGATCGTGCAGACGATTTTTATGGTGGAACTGACACATCGTCATTAGTGAAGTCGACAGAGAAAGATGCGTTCTCAAAGGATGTTGATATTCTTGCTTAATGTGCATGTCGCTTTTATTATAATAATGTATTTATTATTCTTGTTTAAATCAGTAAATATACCCATATTAGATATTAATTAAAACAATAATTTGTTTTATTTGTACACATATATATCGGGATACAATAATAAACGACTATAAATTCCCAGTCTACGATGGCGACGTCTGATCTACCACGATCTAAATAGTAACAATCTGTTAAATGCGATCAGTCTATTCTTACGCTGCGCTAAGAAAACGAAAATTTTACCATGCGTCTTGCAGCGTTATGGATTTATGCTTTGCGTCGTTCTTACGGACTGTTTTTATTTATCTTTTTTATGGAATTGCAAACGAACAGAAGGATCACCTGCTTAATAGCTATTCCCACGCGGTTAATGTGTCAAGCGAGTCTAGACTCATGAAAAAGGCGAAAAATTAAAAATCTTTCAGGTGTCAACACTGATATAGCACGCTGAAAACTTTCATGGGACTAGACTCGCTTGACAGACTATACCCGCTTCTGTTGCATAGTCAGTAGTCATAGTAGTAGTATGACATTTCTCTATCCAACACAAAACTATTCAAATCGGACCAGTAGTTTTTGAGATTAGATTAAAACGTTCAAACAAGCAAACTCCAGCTTTATACATAACCAGCTTTTATCCGCAGCTTCGCTCGCGTCACAAAAGGATAAAAGTAGTCTATGCGACATACACCAATACCATAGATTTATAAATATAACATAGATGTCTGGCTACTGTCTACGGGTAGAATTTAGGATCCATCTTGACGGTAAATTCATAAACATAATGTTGTTTCTTTTTTACTTATGTCTCTTTGCTTATGCAGAAAGAGACAACACATTATTGTCATTCTGGCCATAATTTTTTGACGTCATCAGAAAAACCTAGTTGTGCCGAATTGGCCATCTTAGTCCCTGTTATCAGTGCATGTCAGTGGTACATCAGCTGTCAAAGCATTGGTCAACAATATTTTGTTACGAAAATTTGTAGAATTCCTGTTGTTTTTGTGCGTGGTAAACAAAGAAATTATTGGTTAGTGAGAAGAACTATGCCCGGGTGCAGTGTTATTGGATGTAGCACTAAAAATATTACTAAACCGGCAGGTGTAACATTACATCGGTAAGTACTGTTATTTTTCATTAAAATATCTCTGTTTTTCAAACTATTCAAGTGTGGTTGCTGCAAATTGACTAAATACAATACTTTTCTAACTAATGCAGTGCTTATTTTCATTAATTTTAGTTGAAATACGTCTAAAACAATTTTCATTAAAAAATAGTGATGTACATGATTGTTCCCGTATCGATAATTTTATCGTACATAATAAATGCGTCAAAAGTAGAACAAAGAACTATACTAAATTCTGAATGATAAAGTGCATTAATTTGACATAATGACAAAATACAAAAAACATTAAGTACTCGTCAAAAATTTCATTTTATCGACAAAATTCCACCATCGTCAATACCTACGTAATGTAATAAATATTTAATACAATAGAGAATAATTTTTGTACAATATGAGATAAGGAATAATATTGTGGGAAATGCATTTTTGTCAAAATTGATTTTTTTATCAAATGCCGCTCGACGGATTCAAATGAAACAAACAAATGAAATATAACTTTAGGGTATTCTTAGAGTATTTATTAGAATGTGTCGAACTCTGTCGATAATTTTAATAATATTATAAATTTTCTTTTTAGTTTGTGCTTGAACCACGCAGAAGTTCTTGGCTGGAAATAATTAATGTGGGAAATATAGATACTAGAAGGAAACATAATTATCTTTGTTTGTTAACTTCATTTCGAAGATTAATGTTTTAACCGAACAATAAATTAATAGTAAATCTACGGGATGGGGCCCTGTCGCTACAAGCTCTATTGGTAAATCATAATGTAAACGATCCATTATGTGTTTTGTTATATTAGTTTTGGAAGCATTTTTTGAAGAAGTGCAAACTTAACATTTTATTTACCATTTATATTAAGTTCATAACTAACCGGGTTCTTGTACCTATATGTTTCTATTTTCCTCCGCTATCTATCACTATCATTGTAATGTACAAACATTTTCGTTCAGAGCTTAGTACAGTACCTATAGAATCTATAGAAAAATCTATGTTCAATTGGATCAAGTAAGTTAAATTATACTATTTATGTTGCAGCCGCTAGCCAGATATGTGCATGAAAATGAACTTGGAACCAGTTCTGGAGTCTTCTCGAAAGATGGTTTTGCAGATTACATTACAGGGAAACACTACGAAAAATACGAAGATATTGTATATTATAAATCTTGATTTTATGAATACTTTGATACAGTTTTATTTTTCAACCCTCAAAAATTACTTATCCTTAAGTATATAAATATTGACCAGTTGATGGAAAATCCTTTTCATGAATTTCGATACATAAGTATCGTGAAAGTTATGATGTGAATGTAGTAGTGATAGGCACGATCGACTGGAGTGACAGTGCACGCAGCAACTACTAAATATATTTCGCTAATATGTTGGTAATGTTTAGCAGCTACATAAAAATTAAATCCAGATGAATCATAAAATAATGATATTTTATTGATAAGTCAATTAAAACCAATTCTAAAATATCGATATTTCTACAGTTTTTAAAGTTACATCCCTAGTTCTATCCGCCATTACGGGTGACCAAGTGAAGTTTATGTAGGCACGATTTTTTCCTAGTTGTTTCTTATCCATACTCTTATCATATCAGTGACCAATACACACAGTGCCATCTATACCAATACTTTTGTTTTCCCTCGGGAATATCAAATTTTTCCGTGATAAAAAGTACTCTATTATTTAATCTGGTCTTCTAACTTTACGTCTGCAAAAATTCAAAGCATTCGGTTAAGTAGTTACGGCGTGAAATCGGAACAAACAAAAAACTCACTTTCCGATTTATAATATTAGTAAGGATATCTAACGGGTAACCGGGGCTCCGGCTGGACGTGCAGGAGAAGGAACGGGGTAGTTTTTAGTCAGTAAGAGTCTGACACTCCCTCTCGTCTCACCCAGCCGGGAGCAGCCTTTCGATGATTTTCCCCCCTAAAAAAAAAACTTAATATAGATGTATTTATGTACGTAACTTCATACTCACGGTATAGACATTGCATTGAATAGGCGGATATAATGCCACAGGCAATTTCTAGGTGCCAATATACAGCGTACCTACAATATTTTAAAGTGTAGTACAATATATAACCAATATACAGGTGGTAGTTTTTACTCTAGCGAACAGTGACGTAAGACGTTGTGGAACGTATTTTTGCTTACCAGATGGCAGTACTAGCTATTAACTTGTCGCGGAGAACCTAACGGGTTACCGGGGCTCCGGCTCGACGTGAGAAGGAACGGGGTGGTTTTTAGTCAGAAAGAGTCTGACACTCCCGCCCGCCTCAGTTAGGCGGGAGCAGTCATTCGATGATTTTCCCCCCTTAACAAAAAAAGGTATTAACATTTATTTTTATCATCCATTCGGTAATTAATAAAATTTGATTTTAGGAAATGATTAATAAGATATTTCCTTAATTTCTGACACATATTAGATTTCTGTTCTTTGTGGGCCTGATTTCACCGCTTTTATTATGTCGGCTGTCCAATGGCATTATAGATGTATAATAGGGGATCTGAAATATGGTCACGTGATTTGAAGCCAAAAATACCTTAAAAATGGCGGATCTCCGCCCAGAATAGTGTTGTACCTACGTCGACATAACATAGGCAATTTGATGTAAATATAAAATAATAACTTATCATTTCGTTTTCCTGTAATGTTAAACAGTACGCTGGAATGGGGACAGGGGTAGCTCAGAGTGTATTATAATGAATAAATGTCAAACGTTTTGCTGATTATAATAATATATTCATGGCGAAACAATATTAAATTTTTTTTAAAGATTTTTTGACACATGCTTTCTGTCGTAATATTTGTATCTAAATATGTAAGAATAACAGTTTATGAGAACTCTGATGTTCACTGATAGTGTCATTGAAAATTTGGCCATTTTCAAAAAGAGTAGGAATTACTTTAGCTTGAAGTCGAATAATATTCAATGCTGTGTTCACTTCTTCATAATGGTTGGATTGGAGCATATTGTTAATACTGATGCATATTTTACATTCTCCTTGCCTATTTTTTCCATCCACAACTCCTTTAGGATTTCATTTATAGGAAATCTAAAATCAAATTAATCGCCATTATGTGCAAATGAAATTATTATGTTTTCGGCTTACTCAAGTAATAATTTGACGAGGAACTCGACTAGTTTAAAGCCATGCTAGAGGCTCATATTCATGAGCAGCATTTCGTGACCCGCGACGCGGCGACTGTCGCGCTGCTACGGGCAGTACAGTACAGTAGCAGCGCGACGGTTGCCTCGTCGCGGGTCGCGAAAAAAGTTATTAATATCGAAACAGTTCACTGTAACACCGAAAATATTTCCAAAAACCGTATTGTTGACAGATGATCTACCAAAAACATAAGCGGGTGTGTCTCTCATAAATGGCGGAATGGGCCTCAAGGCGGAGTTTGGTGACGTGAGACGTCATATGTAAAATGTTACCAGAAATTGAAGTTTATGATTTATGCTTATCTCTTTTTACATATGAAATTTACAACGTGTAAGAATTATACAGATATATTTTTGTTGATGAGGTTCATATTTGCATGATATTTGTATAACCAAAATTGTATATGCAACTTGCGGCTTATCCCTTAGTATTCGAATCTATGGTTGGCATCTCTATTCGTCAGGTCAGTCCATCAGTCTGACTCTGACATTCTTATTTCTGCTTGTCGATGTCGATAAATTGTCAATGTCAAATGTCAATTTGACCATTACAATTTTGGTGAACTACCTTGCTATTTTCGTTTTGCAGTACTTTTTCTAACTCTGCTATTGTGAAGTGCTTGATTGTCATAAATCTTGTAGATCTATGTTCACTTGCTTCATTATGAACAATATGATTTCACGTGTCGCTGCTAAACAGTGCGTAACATTGAGAGCAGTCACAAATGTTACACGCCGTAGTTTTGTTTCCAAAATCGACGATGCTAGCACCCATACAGGCCAGGTACTACTGCTACAGTGTATCTTATACATTATTCTTTATAGATGATTCTGAATAAGAATTAACCAATGGGTTTATTAGTATTTTATTTGTATAGATGAACTTCTTACATAACAGGAAATATTTGTATGCTGTGCTGTTAATTAATTATTTGCAATAATTTGATACTAAAAATAATTACCTGCTGTCAGTATTATGTAAAACAGTTGTCTATAAGTGATGTTTCATTCATATAATAATTAGTATTTTTAACTTTATAATTCATTCATAAAATAATACTAAGTAGGCATAACTACTAATAAGTAAAAAAATTTCAGAAATGGGAATCTGATGACTACAGATTGGCTCGGTTCATGAATGCCCCTAAACAAGTTAATCCTAACTGGGCAGTTAATTTGATAGCAGAAGTACCACCAAAACAAGTTACTGAAAGAGTAGTATGGTGCGATGGAGGAAGTGGCCCTGAAGGACACCCACGAGTTTTCATTAATCTGGTAAGTATTCTTGTTACTGAGTTAACTTAATGAAGTATTCTTGACATTCTGCTTTTTTCTAAATTAAATCTGTTGAGGTTGTATAAGATTATAGTTATATTATAGAAGAATAACTGTAAATGTATGGAACAAAAACTCAGAATTGATTAAAATAATTATGTGTGGCAAGGCAGAGTATACATAGTGTTATACATTAGCTTCCAAATTCAATAATTGTTTTCAACTAACTATCTATCTATCTATATAAATAAAAATTAATTTCCGTTTGTTAGTCTCTCTAAAACTCAAGAACAGCTGAACCAATTTAGCTTATTATGGTCTTGAACTGTTCGTAGAAGTCCAGGGAAGGTTTAAAAAGTGAAAAATTTTTGGCGGTAAGGAGTTTGCCGAGTCAGCTAATCAGTAATAAAATTCATGACCAGGTTATCATTTCATTTTGTGTAAGGTTTTTGCAGATTTAACATTTAATTATCCTTTTTTTTTAAGAAAATTACATTTTGAGATAATAATATTGGAAAATCTTGTTGATTTGGGCATTTGTTTGTAATTCTGGTGAATGTAAATCTTTATTACTTCATTTTACTGCTGCTGGCCGATTCGGTTCAGTTATATAGTTTGGGCCAAAATTAATAATGTAATTGCAACCTTCTGCTTATGGTCTATTATATTGTTCATAAATAGTGTAATCTACTCTTGGGCTTTTTTGGCGTTTTCCTTATGTTGCTCAAATCTATTAAATATATCTTCTCGACATTGACATGTGTTATGAGGACTATAAAACAATGACTTCTTTTTTAGGACAAGCCTGGGGACCATTCTTGTGGATACTGTGGTTTACGATTTGTAAAAAAAGATGGTCATTAATGGACGAAAATTGATATGAAGGGTAAAATTACATTATAGATGTTTCATAATTTTTGTTTCCTAAGAATTACTTTGTTATAGTAGTTGTTGAAAATAAAAGGATAAAACCTTTTTGAAGCAGCCTATTATTTTATATACTATTTAAATGACTATTGTGGATTAGACATGAAGGTAATCATTGATAAAAATGATCACACATAATAATTGGTAAGTAAATAATCTATTAATCTGTACTAAATACTTATATTTATTTTTCTATAATAATATTATAAAGAGGAAAGATTTGTACCTATTTTTGTATGTTTGTAATGAATAGGCTCAAAAAGTACTGGGCCGATTTAAAATATTCTTTCACCAATAGAATGCTACATTCTTCGAATTTTGACATAGGCTACATTTCATTTTGAAAAAAATTAGGGATCCTTGGTAAAATTTGAACAATGTAACCGAAGGTGTAGAAAAATGAATCTTAACCCGTTGATATCCATCCCCTAAATTTGGTCATACAAAAGTATTCTCTAAACATTAGAAATAAGGTCTATAATGTAATGTAATATTAGTGGAAAGCGGTCACCGGTGACCGCTTGGGGATTTATGGGTTAAAATGTCTTTCGTCGAATGCGCTGCCGAAACTATTAGGGATAGAACAAAATAATGTACAAAAAGATTGAAGAACACCATAATGTCTACAAAAATCTCCAGGGTAGCATATGTCCAACTAATGTAGTTATGTCATTACAACAATCCAAATTTTCAAAAATAAATAATTGTCTACCCCGTGCGAAACCGGGACGGGCTACTAGTAATAAAATAAATGTTGAGTGTACAAATTGACAATACCTTTTTTTTGGATAGTGTGTTTACTGAGGTATGCTATAAAACATATGCTACGTAACATAGGAACCATATAGTGGGTGCAACTGCGTGAGAGTAGCTAGTAATATACATTGATAAAACAATGGTATCTTTTATTTTAAACATAAGATACATAAAGAAATAAATAAGTAAATGGATTGAATTGTATTACATTAATAGAAACTAAGTTTTACACAATTTTAATAAAATGAGTTGCTGTTTCGAAATTAATGATGTCAATTGTTTCCAGATGCTCCAGCATTTTCATTGCGCAATTCTTGTCTGATTTCAATATTTGACTGTAACAGCTCTTTTAACCTTTCATGAATATCATCATTTTTTTGTTCCAAATAGTCCAATGCTGAATTAAGTTCATCTAATTTTGAATCCAGCATGATGTATTCTGTAAATAAAAAAAAATATAGCCCTAAATTAAGTGTCAAAAAATGTATGGGAAGTTCTTTTTGCAATATTAAGGTGAGAGATTATCTTAATAAAGTAAGTATATAACTAAATATCTTGTTTGAAATCATCAAATCGATATGTATATAACTTACCTTCCACGACATTTTCGTCGCTCGGTTCAGTTGGTTCAATGTCATTGTTTTCTGCAATGCCATTTTGGTTACAGTTGTTTTGATCTTTCCCAGCCATATTACGCAAAACAACTACTATTTATATCAATTTATAACTTCAATCTTTAGCCAATTATTCGTTAGTAATAACAAATCGAGGTAACAAGTAAACTGATATTTACTGCAGAAATTACTATGACAGTTATTTGACATTAAAAACTGACAGCAATGTCATGCAGTCACATGATGCTGCCAGTGCAGAGAAACTGACAAAGGATGGAAGACAGGTACCTGTCTTCCATCTACGATTCGTAGCCATTGATTGGCGATGTAAAGATTCTAACTAGCGCCTCTAGTGTCAAAATTGTGAAGCTGTCTAAGAACGACACTGATTGTTTTCGTAGGTATATCATTTACGTCAGAAAAAAATATTTATTAAATACAAATCAGATTCATATGGTTTCTTGTATATAAATAATTAATTAAATTGCAAGATTAAATAAATGTTATACCAATTATTTTCAAAAATATCCTTAAATCACTTCTATACACTCGAATTCAATCCTATATCCTTTATCCACCATCGATCCAATGGCCAATAGATGAATCACGCAACTCTAACTTCTACCTTTTTTCAATCGAAAATTAAACTCGCATTTATTTAAGATTCCTGATTCATTTACAATAATATGTTTATCTGAAGCTCGACCACCATATTAAGATGCACGTATTTCAGTTATTAGGCCAGAAGGAGTTATTCTAATTTTAAACTTCGCTCTATTATATGAGAGTACATCAATATTTTATATTTTAAACATTTACATTTTTCAATCAAAGTCTCAACACAGTCTAATATTATTCTTGTATATTTATATTTTTTTAAATAATTCAGGTATCAGGCCATGGAATAACAACTTTGAGTACTCTACTCAGCATGAGGCACATATTATTAAAATAATTAGAACATGTCTGCCTATTTATACCAAACAAAACATCAATGGCTCTAAATGACATATTTTGTTTAATTTTTACCATTTTCAGAATAATTTGTCTCTTACAGATAACATTTTCTTGTTTTTTGGAACATTTAAGGCCAATTCAATGGCAACGGTGACCTCTCGCATCCAGTATTGCTTCAGGCCATGGCGCATAGTAAGGGGGAATGGGATGCCGTCTTCTCCTTCTGCGAAGCAGTCATACTAGCCAAAGAGGATGTGTGATGCGTGAGAGAACAAATCTCCTCACGTCCCAGCCGTCACGGGAGATCCTTCGGGGGTCGGAGATCGCCTGACGATCTCCGGCCACCGTAAGCACGGGTCTGCGGACGGTGAGCAAGTTCGGCACCCGACCAGAACCAGACCCGTGCGTACGGCGCATCGCGTTCTACGCGCGCCTCAAAGAGCCAACAGACCACCACAGGTGGGGTCCAGTGGGTAGCCCTAATTGGGGTCCAGTATTGCCCGATACGGAGCCTAATGGGTTGCCGGGGCTCTAGCTCGAAGAACAGAAGTAGGAACAGGGTGGTTTTTAGTCAGTAAGAGTCTGACACTCCCTCTCACCTACCCCAAGGCGAGAGAAGTCATTGTATGATTTCCCACCTCAAAAAAAAACACGAGTCACCAATGCTTCTAATAGCTCAATTGGGATGATGACAGGGTAAATCTAATTAGTCCGTAAGTTAGGTAATGAAATAATATTAGACACGAATTTTATTTTGTCGTATAATAAAACAATACTTAGATAAAACGAATTAAAATTTAGGAATGGGGGCTAAAACGTCATTTCTACGTATAAAATATACATAGAAGTGACGTCACGAGACAATTCAAATCAATATATCGTCGAAAGTATTCGTTTCCGTAAGAAAATAAAAAAATATTTAAAATAATCTACCAGACGGCGATAAAAATTAGGCATCTACCCTATTGAATGAAAGAAAGAAGAAAGAAAGAAAGAATAAATCTGAGAGGGAATAAATCTAAAGCAATTAATGCTTTACAGCTGATCTTTCCACTTTCCATCATCACCATATGAGCCACAGGGCGCCCACTTCTTAACAAAGGGCTCCCCCAATGACTTTCAGATCGGCCGGTTGGAAGCGCCCTGTATCCAGGCTCCCTGCGACCTTGATCGTCTGTGTCACTTTCCATATGATAAGGAAATTTATTTGATTCATAATTTGTAAATAAATGGTAACTTATTCCCGAATTTCCGTAAGTATTACATTGAGGAACGCAATAATACACTTCCGGACACCTAAATCGAGCCACCTCGATTTTTTTGGTTTGGAGTACCTTGTTTTATCCTTTTATTTGTAACTTGTAAAAAATCTATGTAGAAGGAAAATGTTTTGATGCAGTTTTGGAGCTGGTTTAATCAACATTCATTAAGAGTGCCACTGTTCGTTTAAAAGTTGACAACTATTGTTAAAAAATTTTGAAAAAAAAAATTTTGGACTAACATCGTACTCTTTCAAACACAAAAAGAATTTCTCAAATCGTTCTACAACTGCAGGAGATATGGATTAAACTGTCAAACACCAAGCGGTCACCGGTGACCGCAACCTATTGTTCTATAATTGTGTCTACAAAACCGGTACTCGACGAGTTAATATACATAAAAAAATACGGTCTAATTGAGAACCTTCTCCTTTTTTTGAAGTCGGTTACAAAAAAGGAAAATATTAGGAATTGGGGCCGCCCGACCGTCCGGTGACGATCCGGACCGAGCCCAAGTCGTCTATGGCGCGCGCTGTTCCCGTGCACCTCAAAGAGTTTTTCAGCAATCTGTAGCGGCCAGTAAGGTCGAAGCCTACTGGGGGCTGTCAAATCCCAAAGGTCATGCTTGACCCCAGTACTAAAGGCGAGTAGGGAACGGGTGGGTCGGTTGTTTAGTCAGTAAGAATCTGACACGCTCTCTCGCTCCACCCAAGAGCGGGAAAAGTAATTTGATTGTTTTAACTCAAAACTAAAAAAAGCGTACAAGACCAAGCCGAATTCTGTGACAAGTCTCGCAATTTTCCAATCAATACATAGTATAAAACAAAGTCGCTTTCGCTGTATGTCCGTATGTATGCTTAGATCTTTAAAACTACGCAACGGATTTTGATGCGGTTTTTTTTAATAGATAGAGTGATTCTTAAGGAATGTTTGTATGTATAATACATGCATATTGCACCCGTGCGAAGCCGGGGCGGGTCGCTAGTGTATAATAAAATACATGGTCACCCTATTAGAAGAGGACGCACTCCTCCGTTCTATGCATCTCACTTGGCTCGTTTTTTTGGGCCCAGCGCTCAGTCCTGTTAGCTATAATACGTCCATGGTTTCTGTACGTAATCGTGATCCATTTGATTATGTTTAATTAAACTAATTAAACTGTCAAACACCAAGCGGTCACCGGTGACCGCAACCTATTGTTCTATAATTGTGTCTACAAAACCGGTACTCGCCGAGTTAAACTCAACTCGAAAGCAAGTGTCGTTCTAATACAACTTCTACATTTTGCCGCTAGAGGCGCGCGGATAATCTTTGCATCTCCATTATTTCGTAAAGTTACGTTTAGTGTCGTCGGTTCGTCACCACGGGTGGTTGGATAACCGGAGATTTGTATGATTTACAAATTTTTGTTTCAGGTCTGGGTGTCATTGTGATTGTGGGTGGGTATACTGGGTGTAATTTTATGTTTGTAAACACACCCAAGATACAGGAGAAAATACAATAAGTAAAATACATAATATAGTGTTGATGTTAAGCGTTGTTGGAGGTTGGTGTCAAATCTGTAAAATATAGCATGAAGGCATGCACAGAAAGCTGTGAGCGACATAATTATCATTTCGAATTGATATTCCTTACAAATATCGATGCTTGTGTAACAACAACCGTCTTTAATGCTAACGTGACTCGGCAACTGAGCTAAAAGCGGCAAGTCTTCTCCCTAAATACGAAGTATTTAAAAGGTGATGAATTAATAAGTGTCATGAATAGGTGAGGAATTTAGTTTTATATACTCACTAATTTATTGAAATGTCTAACTTGTCTGTACTATTAAAAGGGTCGGAATTTAATCCTATCTTTTTTGCTCATTAGAATTTACACCATTGGACCCTTCGATCAACAATACCAACTAGATAAAGGGTTACGTACAAAATCAAGCTCCAGTTCTGTCCGTGTGAATAATAATAGTAAAAAATAACAAACAGAGAAAAATGTATTAAAATAGTTTTAAGTTCAACCTAATAACAACCATTGCACCTAATAATATAGTCATAAATAGTCAAAATATTATCTAATACTTACGACCATTCGTCACATAAGACAAGAAAAGTATTTTCTTACTCCTGTCATGTAGAAATTAAAAGACATAAGTTATACAATATTTAGTTTGAATTCAACCTTAAGCTCGAACAAATAAAGATAATTTTTCCATTATTGTCTTGCGATCTATATCGTTTTGTTTTGTTACGTTTTGCTTCTTCAAATTTCGAATTTCGCTACAGGAGGTATGTATGGAGTCGCGTTGGACACTAAAATAATTTTATAATATGAAAATTAAGATTTCGGGATCTTAGTATACATCACTAATTTTTATTAGCGGTATACGATTTTGTGTATGATATGTTTATTTACTTTATCATTAATAGTTTAAGTCTAAGTCGAAATCATTTATTTCAGTTAGACCAGGAAGGCACTTTTGAACGTCAACAATATAAATTTAAAAGTGAAGCTATTTGCTCATTCCAAGGTGTAGATTCCTATGGAGAAGAACGAGCAAGAAACAATACAATTTTATTTTTCATTACAAATCGACTCGATGCATCCACTGTTCTGTTTAAACAAATGTTGGCGAGGCTTGGCCAAGGAATCGCCAACACACGCACAAACATTGGTGGCGTTGGTTTATAATTGATAATTTTGTCTAATTTGATATTATTTACTAGTTTAAAAACTTAAAATATAACTTATACTTTATGTATTTATCAAAAGTAAGACACTCCGGCCGTTATACTGCTTTTTCGGTTGTTATTTTTGCAACTTGCAATTATGCACTGCGGCATCGTGAGACGTGAGTACGTTGGCCGTGTTTGGAGCATACTAAACAAAATAAGAGCTCACTTCTCAAGTGAGCTCTTATTTGTCGAGACGATTTTCTTGCGCTGACCCGATATCTAGTTGTTATTGTTGATCGAAGATTGGACCTTAAATATTTAACAGCTATTGGACAAAAAACTCTTCCTAACATTTGCTTCATTTGCTGAGTAAAACACGTTAGCAGCAATTCAGAACTTAAATAGGGTTGAGTTTATTCACAAATAAGCTGCACAGAGAACCCCTATATTAATTATAATGATTATACTATTTTTGCTTTACTTTTTTACTACTATCAATAAATCGTACAAAATTGTAAGTACAACAAACAAATCAAAAATAACGTATAATACACCAATTAAAAATCGGTAGGTAATAGATTGCAGCTGCTACTGCAAAAGTTTTTATTAATCAAGGGAATTTTATTTTCATATAATTAAATTAAAATTGCGTTCATGAAATTATTATTATTTTCTTTTCTATCCTTTTTCCAAACAAAGGCGTTGTATTTTTTTTACTCATAATATTCGGGTTATTACATATGGCAACAAATTATCCAAAATCCAAATACGTCATAATTGATGAAGGAGGAAGCCTTTGTTTTGCATCGCAGAAATATAATTATTTGTAAAAATTGTATACGTTGCGGTGTGGCATTTGTTGAATTTAGATATTGAACGTGTATTATTTTTTAAAACAAGGCGAACTGTTACTAATCTGTAAGTGTTTACAATAACTTGAAATCATAGACATATTTGAACGCAAATAAATGTCAGCATAGTTACAAATAAACTCCCCCAGTATTTCATAAATTGTTTTGCACAAAACATAATATGAAATTTCTTATTAATGTGGTCTAATCTATTATAAAATAGATTAGTTTTTTTACTGTGTTTGATTGTAACTTATTGTCGGTATTTTCAATAAGCGATGACTCATATCTATTACAAAATACGGGAACTTTGAATATATATTTTCCAACAATCCTTCTAAAATTACAGATATTAGGGCTCAGCAGTAGTATTTTCATGGTATTGTAGTTGGTAAATAAACTTTTGTGAGGAAGTAATAACATGATAGTAAATTTTATTATAAACACTTATGTGTCAAGTTTGTTCTCTCCCATAAAAAACAAATCTTATCATTGCTGTCCTAGATTTTAAATATTTTATTACGATATAAAGGTGTTATGATTATGAACATGTATTTGTAATGTATCAAATTCATAGAGTGCCTAGATATGCATTGGTAGCAAAATTTAATATAGCTAGTTGTATATATTTACCTAACTGACACTGATTATTATTCACCTTGAATTTTAAAATTGTAATAGATATGTCATAAATTACTGATATTTAGGGATCACTATAATAAAAAGAAATCTTTTTAAATATACCATACGCTTGGAAATAATAAAATTTCTCTCAATTGAATATTTATAATTGTTAAAACCTATTTGGACCTATACTTATTTGAAAATGTGTGATATAGTTATAAATACCTATTAAGTAGTTTTTACTAAAATAGTCACCAATCATAGATCTCCGAGTTTAGGCCAATGCATTTAGTGTTCAAATGATTTCTAGTTGCACTATGTAATACCAAAATCAATTTGGAAATACATTTGAAGGACTATTTTTTGTGGGTATCATTGTACCTATTATATTTTATATGTATGATGTATGATGTGACCTTCTATTATCATAGGTACAGCTAGTATAATTGATTTGCCTGCATGCTTGTAATTTTTTTTAGAACATGGTTGAATGTGATATCTGTTAAGTTTTTACTAACTGGCTTTTTAATTGATTATTTTCAGATCTAAAATGACTTCAGGACCATACAATTATTCTTACATATTTAAATACATCATCATTGGTGATATGGGAGTTGGCAAATCATGTCTATTGCATCAGTTTACAGATAAGAAATGTTAGTACATTGTTTCTTACATAATACAGTGAAACTTGGTTAAGTGGGACCTGGATAAGTGAGAAACCTCCATAACTGGAACCCATGCTGAGGTCCCAACACTTTGACACTGAATTACCTCTGTTAGTGGGACGAGATAAAACTATATCTGGGATTTGTTCTTTCGATTTATCATCATAGTTACCTCTATAACCGAGACAGCGAGTAAATTTTATATGCATAAACCTCTGTAACTGAGATAACATTGTTTGTTTACTCATTCTTATTCTACCCACATCTTCCACACGTAATCCCAAGTCCATCTCTATTAATGGAACCCTCTGTAAATGAGACAGATATTTATACTTGTATATCTGAGACACTGGGTAAGTGGAATACTTCTATAAGTGAAACGAAATTGCAGGTCCCTTGATGTCTCACATAACCAGGTTTCACTGTATAATTGCATTCTTAATCTTTTTAATATATTTTTTCTTATTATGGTTATTATGTTAGCATTATCTAGACATAAACACCTGGTTTTTGAAAGGCTGATCGATTGAAATCAGCTGGTAAATCTCTTGACAGGTGTAAAGTGATTTGTTAGGAGAGTGATTATATTTAATTTTATAATGTAATAAATAATTATTATAAAGCAAAATAATATTAAATAAGCATAATGCTCATAATTTGCTATGAAATAGGTAGAAAGAAATAACAGTGTAAAATATTATTTTTAAACAATCAAGTCTGTATACAAAGAACATAGTCAAGAATTTAGCAAGGCACTTTATTAATAACTTATTTTAGAAATACCTATAGTAATATAAATATTTTTGTAGTATTAACTCGTTGAGTACTGTCATTATAGACACAAAGAACTGTTGCGGTCACTGGTGACCGCTCAGTGTTTGACAGTTTAATGACTGACTACTAACTGCCTCTTTGGTCAAGTGGTGAGTGTAGTCATGTGTCACCTTCTAGATTCTATATTAGAAGGGTAGCCTTATGAAATGTAGTTGAGATTGTTTGATTTGTTAATTTATTATTGATTTGACAAGCCTTACAATGGGGGTAAATAATGAAGAATTATGAATTAAACTGTCAAACACCAAGCGGTCACCGGTGACCGCAACCTATTGTTCTATAATTGTGTCTACAAAACCGGTACTCGACGAGTTAAAGAAGAATTCATTGAAATTATTTCAAACTTTTTGCATGATTTCAAAAGTATTAAATAATTTTTAGTTATGGCTGACTGCCCACACACAATTGGTGTTGAATTTGGGACCCGAATTATTGAAGTAGCTGGCCAGAAAATTAAACTGCAAATATGGGACACTGCTGGACAAGAAAGGTTTAGAGCTGTAACTCGCTCATATTATAGAGGTGCTGCTGGAGCACTAATGGTATACGACATTACAAGAAGGTAATTAATTCATCAATTAAACTATTATTATAGAACTACAATACATATTAAAGAAATTAGGGATGGGTTTGTTGATTACAACAAACCCAGTTTATCCATAATTTCTTTCACTTCACTAAAAAACTAAAGTATTGTTGATATGTCACCACTTGATTTATTTTTCTACATTTTGATTGAAATTTCTAACTTTTTCAGATCCACTTATAATCATCTTAGCAGCTGGCTTACAGACACTCGTAACTTGACAAACCCCAGCACTGTGATATTCTTGATTGGCAACAAATCAGATTTAGATGGTCAAAGAGATGTCACATATGAGGAAGCAAAACAATTTGCTGATGAAAATGGACTTATGTTTGTTGAAGCTAGTGCTAAGACGTATGTATTTCAGTATCTGTACATCCAAATAATTTGTGCTTATTTGTACTATGTAATATAGCATGATTAGCTTTGAACTTCCAGCAGGCTGTGTAAGGAAGTAGGTACACAAAATGTGTACTCCTAAGTAGTCCTTGTTCCTGTAATTAATCCTAGTTTAGTACTCTACTATGCTACTTAGTACTCATACCTAGATTAATATTATTAGTTAATTAGGGGTGTATAGTCGTTTCGCACCGTGACCGGTTCGAACCGCGGTATGAATCGCCCAAAAGCTCTTTTTGAATGTGTCCTTTCGCACCGCGGTTCGAATCGCCCAAGAACTTTTGGTAATGGGTTGATTCGGACCACAGTATAGGGAAAAAACATTTCTAATTTTGGATAGGTGAAGTCGGACAGAATAGATGTAGTTGATGAAACTGACTGTATATTAAACATGATTTTTAAATCGCATATTTTTTTACACTTACCACTTTTCTAATCGTCTGTCCAAATGATACGCGATATGATTATTAAGTACTTTCGCTCAGTGGTCCGAATCGACCCATTCCAAAAGATACCTTGGGCTATTCGCATCGCTGCAACCACTGTGGTGTGAATCGACCTATTCAAAAATAGTACTTGGGCGATTCGGGACGCGGTTCGAATAACTCGTGGTGCGAAACGCCCCAAGACTCTTAATTATTATGTTTTCGGTTTACTCACGTAACTGACGAGGAACTCGACTAGTTTCAAAGCCATGCTAGAGGCTCATATTCATGAGCAGCATTCCGCGACTAGCGACTCGGCGTTTGCAGAACCGCAGAGCCGAGCAGCTAGTAGTAGCGCGACAATCGCCGCGTCGCTACATCGCGGCTTGATGAGCGTTTCGTTACGTTACGTTTTCCATTGCTTGTTTAATTACTCAGTAATCGACTGTATTTAATTAATGCAAACAATACAGTCAGAGTAGTATAGGAAAACAAAAATTAAGTAATGAAAATCAGATATACTACTCTGTCAAGAAAGTACCGGGAAATTATGAATACACAGAATGTCTGTTATTCATCCAAATTTATTTTATCACCTTCAAAGTATGCTGCTTTAGAAACGATAAACTTGCGCCAACGAATAATCCATTCATCAAAAATTTTTTTTAAGGCTGCTTCCGGAATTGAGGTCAGTTCTCGCTGCGAATTCTCCTTTATGTCTTCTATGGATTGAAAACGGGTGCCACGAAGTGGTAATTTGAGTTTAGGAAAAAGAAAAAGTCAGCAGGAGCCATATCTGGTGAATATGGTGGTTGCTGGATGGTATTTCTTGAGTGTTTGGTCAAAAATTCGTTCACAATGATAGCCTTGTGCGAAGGCGCATTGTCGTGGTGAAAAATCCAAGAATTTTCTTTCCAAAAATCTGGAGTTTTGATCGAGTTTGGCATGGTTTTTTCGGTTTTGATTCAGTTGGAAGGCGCCACTCCGAAGCTTGTTGATTAGTTTGCATGTCAAACTCGTAAACCCACGTCTCGCCACCAGTAACAATGCGTTTCATGAATGTTGGGTCCGAACTGACTGGTTCTAGCATGTCCTCAGCGACTTTCATGCGATTGAGTTTTTGGAGCAAATTCAGGTCTTTTGAGACTAGCCGAGCAGCAACTTGTTTCATACCCAAATGATTAGTTAAAATGGTACGGATCGACTCGTGAGATACAGAAAATTCGGAGGCTATCTCTCTCAGAGTTGAATGGGGATTTTCAGTCACTATTTCCTTCACTTTTGTGATGTTAACTTCAACCAGAGCGAGGCATCTCATCTCGACCGCTTTTGAACGCTTTAAACCACTCATAAGCACGAGTTTTTGAAAAAGTCAATTCACCGTAAACCTTCTGTAACATTTTCAGTGAATACGAAATTCCATTGGCGATGCAAAATTTAAGACAAAATCTTTGTTCGATATTTTTGTCCATTGTGAAATTCGCAATACACACTATAAAAATAAATAAATAAAAATCTTTTATTTTCAGGCGTCGACGGCCCATAGAGTGTTAGTAAACAGTACAAACTTAAAAACTATGTTAGTGGACACACGAGTACAAAAATACAATAATAAAATATAAAATAATACATACACAAATACAAATACAGAACAGATTATTATTAGAAGCATTATCAAGCCCCACGTCTGACATGCAGCTTGATAAATCTATCTATTGTAGGCCCTTCTAGCCTTTCTGCAAACACCCTCAGAACGCCGCTGCTGCTCTCCCTCAGTCTGCGCAACACTGATGCCACCTTTTTGCGCATGATCGCGAAATAATCATCAGTGTGCGCATCCGCGAACATACCTGACGCACTACAGTAAGGTGGAAGCCTCAACTTGAGTATGATTAGCCCACAGACTGCTGGTGTAAAATATTTGACAAACTATATAATATATAATTATGATACTAGCAGCCCATCCCGGCTTCGCACGGGGTAGACAATTATTTATTTTTGCAAATTTGAATTATTGTAGTGACACAACTACAATAGTTGGACATATGCTATCGCGTAGTTTTTTGTAGACATTATAATGTTCTTTAATATTGTTGTACATTATTTTGTTCTATCGCTAATAGTTTCGGCAGCGCATTCGACGAAAGACATTTTAAGATCATTTTTCTACACCTTCGGTTACATTGTTCAAATTTTACCAAGGATCCCTTATTTTTTTTCAAAATGAAATGTAGCCTATGTGTAATTGGAAGAATGTAGCATTCGATTGGTGAAAGAATTTTTTAAATCGGCCCAGTACTTTTTGAGCCTATTCATTACAAACATACAAAAATAGGTACAAATCTTTCCTCTTTATAATATTAGTATAGATTACTAAAACCAGCACTGTATTTAATAGAAATAACAGATGCAACTCAAACTCCGCGCCAAAATGGAAAACAGTTGTGCCAATCTAACAACTACAAAAAAACAAAAATTTGAATTTGGATATGGATAAACAAATCATTCATTCCCGATACTTTTTTGACTGAATGTATTTTACGTTTTGTTGCTTTTCATGATTTTTAAGACAAATGTTGTAAAATACTTGGACAACTGTAATAACTGAGGCCCTGACTGAACATTTCTTTTTTTGCATGATACCACTCAACAAGGCTGTATCTTTAGTTTACATTCGCGGTTGACATTGACAACAGACTTATTCGCGGTGACGGCCATTTTTTTCAAAGATTGACCGGAGCTCTACGGCCCCCTTACCACTTTTTCTTTTTTAACCGACTCCCAAAAAGGAGGATGTTATTAATATTTCTGTGGGCTGATATATGACGACGATGATTTCAAATAAATATTAAGTATGTTTTTTGTTTTTTCAGTGGTCAAAATGTGGAGGAAGCCTTTCTTGAAACAGCTAAGAAAATATATCAAAGCATTCAAGACGGGCGATTGGACCTGAACGCAGCTGAGTCCGGAGTGCAGCACAAGCCGGCGTCCCCGGGCCGTCCGCTTGCTGCTCCCCCGGCCGCGCGAGATAACTGCGCTTGCTAACCGATCTCGCGATCAATATGGATAAACCAGAAATCATACTTAATGGTTAAGAATTATTATCCTAGTAATAAATTCAATTGTCATAAATTTTGTTTTGTTTTGACATAATTTATATTAGCATACATTCCACGTTATATTTGTGTTTAGAATGTTATAGGTGTCTCATGAAGGGAGCATTAATATATTTTATATAATAATAATCTTAGGTACTTTTGTTCTCATTATACAGTTTTTTTTTTAAGAATACATGTGCTAGTGATCTGAAATCTTAGTTTTCAGATGTATTATGTCAGACACACTTTCAGTAATAGTTCTATGTGTGGTATACCAGGTTTTTCAAGTAACTTTAGTTAATAATTGCATTTATAATAGGGCTTCTTTCGTATCTCGGTATATTTTCAGTTAAGTATACCTACCTAAAACAAGTTTGTAGATATCAATATTCGACATTAAATTCTGCAGGGCACAGGATCCTGTGGAAAAAGTTGGAAGAGAGCTTTATCAGGTCAAATAAATACAGAATACAAATTTAACATCTGGTTATATTATTAAACAATTGACCTTAGGCCTGGCGTCAACTATCGGTTTGCTAAAGATGCGGCTTCGGGCGTCATTAGGTGTGCTTACAACTGCAGGCAGCTCTCAGGTGCCCGAAGGCCCCGAAGCAGCCCAAGCTGCACCGAGCCTGTTCGCACCGATAGTAGGCATGGGGCATAAGGGCCGCGCTGTAATGTATTCATAAGTAATTCACTACCTACTCTACTCTATGATCGACACATATTATTGTAATTTCTAGTTGTACATGTGGCGTGACACTTAAAAATATTCTCTTGATGAGACACCTTATTAAGAGCATGGAGTGTTTGCTGTACTCAGTCATTTTACTATGACCGAGGTCTGGGGACTATGAATTTTCTGTGGGCTTATAAGAAAGTTGGGCTTGTTTAAATGTATTATTATTATTATTTATGATCTATGTATTGTTAGTAACTTTTGTATATTTTAAACACTACAGGAATTTAAAGAATTAAATTATTTTTAAGGCTATACTTTATTCAAAAATGTTAGTAGTTGCATGATAGTAACATCTTAAGTAATAATTTGATATAATAATCAGTATCACTAATTGAATAAAAATATCTTAAAATAAAAAGTAGTGCTAAGTCTGTTTTACTTGAATAATTCATTGTAAGTCTAATTTCATTCTCTTCATTGCAATCTGATACATTATAACTTGTAGTCCTACAACTGTAAAATGTATCCCGATTTTCTTATCTGGTGCATCTAAATGTTATTATGCCTTATTTGCTTAGTTTTGAATAATCCGACTAGACAAGTAGCAAGGGTGCTAAACCTGTTGTACAATTTATATATACACACTGGTGTTCGAAAACTAGACGGTATAATGTGAACAGGGCTGCCCTACTTTGACTGCTCTGGGAAAAAAAAAATATTTCCTTTTTTCAAGAAACAGACTTCGAAATGAAATAAGGAGGTTCTCAGTTTGACCTGAATATATGTTTGTGCGCGATTATCTCGCGATTGGCTGAACCGATTTTGATGCGGTTTTCAGAAAAGTGTTTGTTAACTTAGGATAAGGTTTTAGTGTAGTTACAGAAGAATAACTGGTAATCCTAGAAAATGGACACCTATAAGACATTTTCGAGTACCATGGCCACAATATTAAAATATTTATGATTTCTGTTTGGTATGGATTACCTCAGCAATGCTGCTTTCCACTATCATCAATAAAAATCTCTTAACAAAGCTCGTTTTTTCATATAAAACTAAAATACTTTTGTATCCAAAGTAAGATAATTATCAGTAGAGATATCTACTTGTCAAGTTATATTGTTTGATTGAGTTAGTTATTTTTGGTACATACACCTGTATAATATATCCATATGAAAAAATTGTATTGCATAGTACAAGGTTACCTAATGTATATATATTTTGGTGCAGGTCTAGGTGTAGATTTGAATTTATTAAAGAACAATAATATAGTTCTATTTATTTTTGTGACTTTCGAAGAATAAATTATGTAATGTACAGTTGGACAACCACAAAACAAAAAGGGATTGATTTAAAATTTGTATATTTACGGAAGCTCGATGTTGATATAAAAATAAAATTGTCAGTAGTGTAACCTTCATATTATAAAACCTGTGTAGGAAACAGATCGCGTCATTTAATATAATAAAACTATTAAACATATTTATTACCTGCACACTTGGCGCGGCGGCTGGATAACCGGCTGCCAAGCTATGTGTAGCAGGTTTGATACCCGCACGGAGCAACTCTTTGTATAAGCCACATATTGTTGTTCTGTCTGGTTGTAATGTATATGTGAATTTTTAAGTTTATAAATGCACCCGTGACATAATAACGATTTCAAAAAGAAAAATATTTCAAGTATATACATAGATATCATTCCTTGAATAAGGTATAGCTAAAAAAACCTAACCTAACCTACTGCCGAAGGCAATATGTTGAGTCAGTGACATGTGTACTATATTTTAGACCTAACATGAGCATCGGAAATACAAATAAAACTATGAAAAAGGAACTGTGTATTTTCAAGCTTTAATATAATTCCTATGTAGGTACATAATATTAGTGTGGTTTGTTGTACATAAATAAGACGACATGGACGTTGCAAAAACACTAACTGTGCCCTTTTTAGGCTAGTGTCGACAAAACGAATGTAATATTTTTAAAAATTTGCGCTTTGTGTTCTTTTTACTTTCCTATCGATATCATCAGACATTTCATTCGAATCGGCTATCTTGAGATGATAATATAATTATGTATATTGTATAGTGATAAAAACTACAATCTCATTGTCTTCGCTATTATTAGCTATGCATAACAATCGTATTAGAAATGTGTAAGTGTAGTTGTTACGTGTTTCCGATAAGACTACTGATTTTAATGATTTTTTGGTACAGTACATAGTTACATACAAAGCTAAGCATTGTTGCTTAAGCGCTTTTAGCACAAGCACACAAGCAAATTCAAGTATTAATATTATGGATGTCATATTGTAATTTGGTTTCAGATTTAGACTTACTACCTACTGGCTTTTTGAATAAGATCTGTGTGAAATTTTACCATGATTATAAATTTTGTGGTATGAATTGCATATCTTTAAATCAAAAACTACCATAAAGTATAAACATATAAAACTTTATTGTATAAATCGTTACAATCGGCCTTACATTACTACCTACAATTAGGTATATATTTTTTAATGTTCACTTATAATTATATGTTATCTCCACCACCTGTTCAAGTTTTTATTTTATGAAACTAATAGACATTATATAATCCGATTATTGGTCGATCAGTTCGGCGGTTAAAGTTTTGTAACTTTATGTAAATGGTTAAATAAGTATAATTAATTTTTCACCAAAGAAACAATACCGACCTTTATAGATGGATAATAAAATATAAATAATACAATAATATTCCTTCACCTTGTAAATATTGAGTTACATAAGTATATTGAGTATTAGTATAACTGGGCTACTGCCTAGAGTAGGTCATGTCCTAGTCTACAGTTTGGAAGGAACATTCTTCAAGAGAACATCATGCATTTCTTGGAGAGTTTGTTCCAAAGCATTCCTGTATTTATTACAATCGGTGTCCGGATGTTCGACAAATGCGGCAGTAGCGAAGTTTATATCATTGTCTCTAGGGTTGTAACAGGTTGCATATCCATCAGCCACTAATGGCCCGTAACACATAAATCCATCACACTTACAAGCAACCTGGAAATAATGGATTTTGTTACACATAATAGCAACTATAGATTCCGTCAGTCTGGTAGCTTTCAGTTGTTCTATTTCATAAAAAACAGTAATTATAATAATCAATTAAATTATCGTTTTTAATATCAGTTATGCATTAGTATTTGTATCAAATATCTGGCACCTTAGTTACTATAATAATGTTATTGCTACAATAATTTTGCAGTAAATGTTACCTGACTAGTAGAAATCCTCATATGTGCACTTCTTGTAAATCCAGCATCAGAATATAATTTTGGTATTTCAATGCCATTTTCGATAGCACTTAATTTTAAACCAAGTAAATGTCTATCAACACCTAATCCTTGTAGTGCCTGAAAGATGGACAATGACTATAATGCTCCTTATAGTTATATTAGATAATACATATATTATTGTATTGACTCCCTCGTTGGCCGAGTAGTCGCAAATGCGACTGCCGGGCAAGGGGAGTGCGATTCCCGGGTCTGGCAAAGCGTTGCTGGGTTTTAAAAAATTCTCAGTGTTACCACGGAGTCTGGAATTACATGGCATTACATGAGAAATTACATGGGACTCGTAACATAAAATAGTGAAAAGTGGGTGTTACATGATACAGTGGCATTAAGTGCCATAATGTGCACCTCTGCCTACCCCTTCTGGGAAGAAAGGCGTGATTTTATGTTGTATATTATTGTATGATTTTTACCTGAACTGTATAGTTTTTATGAGAATTTATAGCGCTCTTCAATGCAGATATTTTGTCTTTTGGACTACTTTGTGAATTTAACATTGTTTTTGCAAATTCTATTGATTCAATTGAGCACGATCGTATTGTTTCTGTGCGTCCGCCAACATACATTCTTGTAGCTGCAGACTCGTAATGGGCTCCAGGTACGTTGTGTAACCTTAAAAATATTTGAGATAAGAAGGTAGTTTACGATAAGTACACATAAAGAACTGGTTCATTATAAGACTGCTTATTGTATATGAAAAAATAGTATCGGTTTAGCACTTAAAAAAAGCTATTTTCCTGTTTTTACTTGATAGAATTTTTTGCGCCACTAGACACGCAGGGACTTAACAGCGGTAATTATTTTTTATCAACAGAGTATCGTACTTGAAATCGTATGTCGTATGATATATTTTTCAATACAAAAAGCCGACAGCGAATGGTCCAGTAAAGGTGCCCGCGAGCCGCCCGCCAGGCGCCAGCGAAACAGCGTTCGCAAAGTCGAAACAATGCCGCGCCGGAGCCGTGCTTTTTAGATGTGCGACGAACAACACATGTAAGTAAGTAGCATTGGTGGTTGCAGTATCAGTCAGTTTGTGGGAATTAGGCTGGGTGTTGGATTAATAGAACCTAACATCTTAATAGCACTTCTAGTGATGCAAAACTACTTATTAGAGTACTAGTACATTTTCTTTCCTCTACTTTTTCACCAGGCATAGAAAGCATTTCTTTTTTTTTATGGAATAGGAGGCAAACGAGTAGACAGATCACCTGATGGTAAGCGATCAGCACCGCCCATGAACACCCGCAACACCAGAAGAGTCACAGGTGCGTTGCCGATCTTTTAAAAAGGGAATACGCTTTTCTTGAAGGTTTGAAGGTCGTATGGGTTCGAAAATACTGTCGACGACAGATCAACTCAGTTGTGGCCTACCAACCATCTATATGATGGGGATGCATATGCTGTCGTGACGGTCGACGGGTCGACGGCGAAAAGTTGCAGCAAGTATCAAGTCAAACAATTCCTTACGAGCACTTCTCGTGGTAAAAGCTATAGAAAATACCGAAGATACATCTCTACGCATTGCCAAAGTGTCTAGCCGGTTTAAAACATCCCGACATCCAACAATCCGAACGGCACGCCGCTGAATGCGGTCCAGAGGAAAAAGCTGTTATAGGGGTGCCTCCGCCCAAAGGTGAGAACAGTATTCCATGTGGGACCGAACCTGCGCCTTATATAGAAGCAGGCGGTGGGCCGGGGTGAAACACTGCCTCGATCTATTGAGCACCAAGCTTCCTCGAGGCTAATTTGGCCTTATCCTCTAGATGACTGCGAAACTGGACGTCGTAGCTCGTAGTTAGAGTGCTTTGAAACTGAGGAGAGACGACCAACGGCAGTTTCTTAGCTGTAAACACGCAGACCTGTGTTTTAGTAGGGTTAAACTGGACCTAATTAAGTCCACCCGAATCAGAGATTCTCCCTAAAGAGGTCTTGATTTCAGACACGAGTTTGTTTCGGCTCTCTATGACGTTTTCCCGAGAAATGTTAGCGCAGCCGGTGTAGTAGGCATCGCCTGTGCTGTCGTCCGCATAACAATGAATGCCGCTGATTTGCAGCATGTCATTGATATGAAGGAGGCACAATGTAGGCGATAGCACACAGCTTTGAGGAACGGCTGCGTTAACAGACAGCAAGTCGGAGCATTCACAGTCGACAACAACCTTAATTCTTCTGTCTGCAAGGAAGCACGAGACCCATTCGCATAATTTCTCGGGAAGCCCATTTTTTTTTAACGGAGTAAAAAAAAACGCCGTTCCTACTCCCGCACTTTGAGCCGGAGCCCCGGTAACCCGTTCGGTTCTCGGTTCAGTTCTCCGCGGCTCCGTATCTGCATCAGCCCTTTTGGGCCCCATCCGTGGTGTTCTGGTGGCTCTTTGAGGCGCGCGCCGTACGCTCGGGGCTGGTTCTAGTCGGGCGGCGAGCCACCCATGCTCGCCGTCCGCAGGCCCGCGCTTACGGTGGCCGACGATCGTCCCGCGAACCCCGACGCCCGGAGTGTCCTTCGCGACGGCTGGGTCCCGCGCCCTGCGCCCCGCCTCCTCCTCCTCCTTTTGCGAAGCATGACTGCTTCGCAAAATCGCCGATCACTTCCTTGAGGGCACAGCGGTGCTAGGGAAGCCCATAGGTAGAAAGCTTCGAAAGAAGCGCTCTGTGCCAAACCCGATCGAAGGCCTTCGCCACGTCCAAACATACTGCCAACGCTTCCCCCTTAGACTCGATCGCCTGTGCCCACCGGTGCGTTAGGTAACCTAGAAGATCACCAGCAGACCGACCTTTACGATAGCCGTATTGCTGGTCACTGAGCAGCTGATGGTCCTCTAAGTAACGCTGGAGGCAGTTTATAATGGACTCCATTATTTTCGAGAAGAGGGAAGTTATAGCTATTGGTCTGTAGTTAGACGGATTGCATCTTGTTCTTCTTTTTAACGTAACTGATTTATGGTACACATGAAGAAGAACGAGACTTCTGGTTGCTTGGTTGGTGTTGCAGAATGTAGACTTTGTAGGTTAGATGTAGAAAATAAATTAATTCATTTAAAAATCATATGTCCTCATTGTCAGCCCAAACTTGATATGTTTACGTACTAGAAGGTAGTCCAAGGTTCAGTCCAAGGTTCCATGGTCAACCAGGTCGATTGTACCATAATGTTGTATGGTCATCTAATTTACATAATTATGATTGCTAAATTTCATGATACAACAATTACAAGCGTATGTAATTCAGATTCTTGGATTTTATTAATAAAAAAGCGTGTTAAAATACCTATAGAAGGCGAGCTGCATGGCCATCTGTATATAGCTATCTGGACTTAACTTCTGCGACTTGATAAAATTTTTCCCATATTTGTCATACTGGAAGCAATTCAATTGAAGATTTTGGACTAATCTGAAAATAAATATTAATGTGTCTTAGACATAGAACCTATCTAGTTACCTACATTATAGGGGCATTTGAATCATACATATTTATATTATTTATGATGATGAAGTTAAGATAATATTATTGGACACATACAGTACACTATATACTACTTGGTACTCCCGCGCCGTTCCACCCGCACCCGAGCAGCGGGTGGATCCGCGAACGAGTAGGTAGCTAGTATATGAAAAAATCAAAGAACAATTAACCACTAACTTGTCTAAATTCTTCTTGGCGTCTTCTATCATGTTATTAACTTCTGAGCTTACGTTGAATTTCAATAATTTTGGTTGTTTAGGACTTTTCGACGATCCTTCGGGAGCTTTATTTTCTTCACTGAAATAATTTAAACACTTGGTTATAATTAAGCACTTATGTAGGTACCAAAATAAAAGTGCAGGTAGGTATGTACTTGGATATAAACTTACATATATTTAATAATGAAATCTGTTAAAATAGCGATTGGTTGGCCTTCTGCAGGAGAATGTTCGTATGTAAGACCTGTTACACCATCCGCACCCACAATGAACTGAAAGATAATAACAGTGCAAAGACGATTAATAATGTGAAATAAGTAGAAGTTAGTTGCCTTTTTTTGAGGGTGGAAATTCGTCCAATGGTTTTTACTGCCTTGGGCTAACCCAAGGCAGTAAAAACCATTGGACGAAGCGAGTGGGTGTCAGACTCTTACTGACTAAAAACTACCCCGTTCCTACTCTTGCTCTTCGAGCCGGAGCCCCGACAACCCGTGGACATCGGCCCTACTGGGCCCATCTGTGGTGGTCTGATGATTTTTGAGGCACGCGCGGAACGCGACGCCTCGAGCGCGTCAGGGTCTGCGGGTCTAGTTCTGGTCGCGCGGCTAGCTACCGTTTGCTTGCCTTCCGCAGACCCGCACTTACGGTGGTCAGAGATCGTCGCGCAATCTCCGACGCCCGGATTGTCTCCCGCGACGGTTGGGGCGTGAGGAGAATCGTTCCTTCACGCGCCCCGCCTCCTCCTTGGCTAGCATGACTGTTTCGCAGAAGGATGAGACGGTATCCCAGCAGGGATGTCAGAAATGCAATAAAGTATCGATAATTTTTGAATATATTGATATTTTTATTTAAAAATATTGATATATTGGTATGATATCCAAAAAAATATTTGGACTAAACTACTTCAATCATCTTACATTACCTACTAATCTATTGATTATCATCTGTAAGGAAACGTCGTCGGTTTGACGTTTGTAAAACTGTCAAATTCAATTGACAGATAAGACAACCTACACTTCCGTCCGGGCACTTCCGCTTGGGGCAGCATCGCGAACCGGCGCATCACTTTTTCGTTTCGTCTAAACTCTTTCTTTTTGTTAAATTGTGTGTAGCCAGAAATCAATAACAACAAATATTGTGATTAAAGTTTTAGTAATATTTAATTCATTAGTTTTTTTCGTAAAGGTTGTTTCATTGACGTGACAACGTCTTAAATTAGGTTGCGGCTGGGAGTCACTTATGAAAAAGTGTAACGCTCGGTAACGTTACGATGAGTCACCGAACGAGAGAGAGGCCCGCCGAATGCCTTGCGTCTCTCTCCCACTCAACTATGATCGGTCTGCCGCGCGCGCAGCACTAGTTCATTCAATTCCTTGTTCCTATTGTGCAATTTAATTATATTCATATCAATAAATATTCTACCGAGAAAAAGACGTTGTCACGTAAAATCTTCGCCCGTAAAAACGACTTTACAGGCAACCATTTTTTTGTTTATACATCTATATATCTATTGACATCATTATTGATAAGTCGATTTTTATACCTTTTCAAAACTTGTAATTTTATATCAATACCTCGATAATCACTACATAGTATAAAACAAAGTAGCTATCCGCCGTCTGTCTGTCGCTATGTATGCATAGATCTATAAAACTACGCAACGGATTTTGATGCGGTCTTTTTTAATACATAGAATGTTTCTATAGGAAGGTTTATATGTATAATTCATGCATATTGCACCCGTGCGAATAGGTCGGGTCGGGCGGGTCTCTAGTATGTCGACAAAATGATATCGATGTATCGATAAGCCTACATCCCAGTTCCAGAAGCTAGCTTGCCTAGATATCTTACATATGCAAGTATATTTAGGTAGATACTAGATAGCCCAATATGTTATGTCATAGTCGGAAAAATGATAGAAATCACGCACTTCTTGCAGCTTCATTAAAATATACTTACTTGTATAGTCTTGTCAAACCAACGGTTGCCACCGTTACTTTGTGACCCTCCACCATGTATGGTCTGTGCTCCTGCCAAGTTTCGACGGGCGTTCGCATCTTCATACTTCCAAAGGTCGACAGCTCCATCCAAACACATAACAACAATACTTCTCTCAACATCTGCTAAAGATTCACTATTTGTTTTGTCTGGAATAATAAGTACACTAGTTAACAGGAAAAAAATTAAAAGCACGCTTCAAACTAAAAACAAAAATCATAGTTCTTTATCATCAAAAGAACTGGATATTGAAATGAATGGATATTGAATTGAAATGTTATTAGGTAATAAGAACTCGAATTCTCAATTAATAGGTGTCATCAGCCACCTTTCCATTCCTTATCAAATCAGCTCAATGGTTATGGTCATACCATAATGTATGGTCAAGTGTGCACAATTCAGATTCTTCTTAGATTTTATCACATATCGACCTAAAGTGTTAAAATTAAAATAAATTTAATTCTGAAGGAGCTTTACCTTTAGCTAGAAGATCATAAGCCTTCGCCCATGTGTCACGATTTTCAGATGTAAGAATACCTATACCCTGATTATTAGGAACACTCGATAGTTCAATTACTTTTTTTAATTGCTGAACTATCTGTTCTTCATTCAGCATTACTCCATCGTCACCCCAGAGATCGACGTGGAAAATCTAAAATATATTATCGTTATAATATTATGCATGGTAACATGGCTATGACTACAGCACAGGTGTCAACTAGTGGCAGATTAAACCCTAGAGAGCGCCCCGAGCGCCCAAAGCAAACATAAGCGCCCCTAATATTCTCTTTGATAGGTTGCTTTCGTATTCCGTGTTTTGATGTAACGAATATTCGTATAATTTTAGACATTCGCATTCGCTATTTCCAAAATTTTTGTTTTGTTTTAAAGGGTAAAATCCCGAGATAGTTGATGGATGGATGATGGTCCCATAAGGTCAGGTTAAATTTGTAGGGGCGAGTAATACGTCTAATATGATTTTCAATTAGGATTTTTAAACACAAAATTTGATAAGGGTTTGGAGTCGACCTGATGATGGAGCCGACAGGCAGTCGAAAGAACTCCTCAACGGTTTATATTAACTAGCTTGTGTTAAGGCTTGATTAATTTGTATTGATGAGATCTTTACGCCTAGATAGAATAGGACTGTCATTAAGGGTCTGATGATGGAGAAGTGTAATTGTTAAGGGAACTCCTCAACGGTATACAGTAACTACCTTGTGTTTGGGCTTGATTAACACGTTAACCGCCGCATAGGTCACCGGTGACCTACGTTAGCGGAGGATTTGCCTTCAGCAGTTTTCTATCGGCAGTCAAAGGCTTAATTTGTATTGATTAGAACTTTACACCTATTTAGATTATAAGTGACAAAACGGATCTATGTAGCTTTACACTGAAAATGATAAAATAATAAAATAAAAACTGCGTTTAAAAAACCGACTTCAAAAAACCAAAAACTAATAAAACAAAAAGTCAAAACTAAAAAGCAATAAATAACTGTTTAGTATTGATAGGTTACCCATACCCACCGAATGATAGGTAAGAACTCGACAATTTTTTGTGGCCGTTATGTTATATCTAGCTCACCAACTAGTTTAAGTAACTTATTGTTCAAAGATGGTTCAATTAACTGCCTCGTTGGCCGAGTGGTCGCAAGTGCGACTGCCAGGCAAGGGGTCTCGGGTTCGATTCCCGGGTCGGGCAAAGTACTACTGGGTTGTTAAAATACTCAGTAGTAGCACGGTGTCTGGAATTGTGCCCAGTATATGGCAATATAGATTACGATTGTGCCCAGTATAGATTACGATCACTTCGTCAACGCAAACAGACGTGCGCTTTGATGCAATAATTTTAAAATTAATTGACAATTTTTATTCAGTGACCTACTTGTCTTCCGCTACGTGTTTTATAACACTAAGCAAACTCAAATGTTTTACTATCTATAAATTATAAAGAAATGTATAAGTAAACGCTTGAACTTTAAAAACTATGGAAAGCAGCCCCTTCAATAGAAGCGGACTAACGCGCCGCTCACCACCGCCGACACCAACCCAAACTCCGAGCCACAGCCAAGACGAGAGGATGGAAGTGATCTCAACATCAGACCTACAGCACTGGATGGGATGCATTGAGACCCAACTAAACGAGATATGTCATATAACTGGCGAAGGCAAGCTAAACTCGGATCAAAAGTTAAAGGTGAGCTCCCTATGTCGCAAAATTGGGCATAATGTTGGCCAACTAGCCTGCAAATATCAATCGCTCAAACAAAAAGCCACTCAGACGCACTATTCCCTCCAAGTCCTTAAAGAACATCAAGCCCAAGAAGAAAGTCTGACTGCAGAAATTAAGCGGACCATACAAGAATCTTGTGGGAAAACCACCATGGAAACCACTACTTTTGCAGACATGGTGAAAAAAGGAGCCAATGATTTTGTGCGCCCAATAAATGTCAATTCCGTAGCGATTTATCCCAAGGATAACTCGAAATCAAGTGATGACACCAAAAGCTTGGTTCAAAAAATCGTGTGCCCCGAGGAAATGAAAATAAAAGTTCGTGGAGTACGAAGGGTTCGGAATGGAGGTGTTATCATCAGCACGAATTCAAAGGACGACGTCGAAAAACTGATGAAAACTGTGCAGTCATCAAACTCAGACCTAACAATCAACGAACCGCAAAAAAGAAAACCCCGCATAATCATTATAGGAGTACCGACATCTATACCAGAATCCGAAGTCTACAACTGCATATTTGAGCAGAACGTGGCCGACAAAATTCCATCCATGACCAGGGAGTCATTTATGTCTTCAATAAAAACAAGCCATAAATCCGGCAGAAAAGATACTGATCATCATAACCTGATTATCGAAGTCTCAGCTGCTATACGGAAAGCACTCATCACCCAAGACCGAGTTTTCATAAACTGGACCTCCTGCCCGGTAAGAGACTTCACATTGGTGACTAGATGTTTCAATTGTCATCAATACGGCCACGCAGCTAAATTCTGCAGAAATCCAGTTGTAACCTGTGGACATTGCGCTACTGAGGGCCATTCAATCAAGGATTGCCCGAAAAAATTAGACCCACCGAAATGTGCCTCGTGCCTGCGATTCAACAAACCATCTAATCACAAGACAGGAGAACAAGATTGCCCAGCAAAGAAGGCGGCCGAATTCAGGTATATAAATTCGATCGATTTTGAAGGCGCCTAAGAGCGCCATTGCAACATTATTATTAGCACTAAATTAAAATTTTAAAATCGATACTACATGAATCAAAATCTAATTAATGAAGTAGAACATAGTTTTCCAACAATCACAAAAGCATGCGATGTGGAGGACTGCGAACAGTATCTTTCGGATTTTAAAAACTCTTTTAAAATAGTCACTCAAAACATTCGCAGCATCTACAAAAATATTGATAGTTTTCACACTTTTTTGCACAGAGCTAACCTAAATTTTGACGCTATGGTTTTAACAGAGTGTTGGTTGTCAAATAGAAACGAAAATATACCTCAAATACCGGGATATCAGACTTTCTGTAGTAAATCAACATATAATCAAAACGATGGCGTCGTAGTATATATCAAAGAAACACTCGAAGCCACAGTTGAAGAAACAACCGTACACGACTGCAACTGTGTCACGGTAAAAATAGGAAAGAATGTTGCACTATTAGCTATGTATAGATCCCCTTCCTTTAGAAACACTGATAGGTTTCTGCTTTCCCTAAATCAGACCCTTACAGCCCTAACACCCTTCCCGAACATAATATTAACTGGTGACATAAATCTAAACATTGGTTCTGACATTCTTGACACAGGGACCAACAACTATTTAGATCTCTGCTCCTTTCATGGGCTCCAGCCTGCACATACCCTGCCCACACATCAAAGTGGTTCTTGTCTGGATCATGTGATGATTAAGTCTAAATTAGCATATATAACCTTTGTCACTAACTCAACAATTACCGATCACCATGCTGTAATACTAACAATAAATTTAACGTCCCATAAGCAAAAAAGAATTCTGACAAAGTCCAAATTGAATATGAACCGTCTTGAAAATGATTTACGCAACACAGATTTTAACCCAGTTTATAGTACCGCTGATGCAACTCTGTCTTTATCCTACTTAATAAATATTATACAGCAAGCTATTTTACGAAATACCACCACATCGAGAAATAGCAAAAATAATCACAATTTAAAACCGTGGATTACACCCGGCCTCCTTCGCTGTATAAGACATAGAGACAAACTTCATAAAAAAACTAGACAATTTCCAGATAACGCCATACTCCAACTAACATATAAAAGATACAGAAACTTCTGCAATAATCTCTTAAAAAAGATTAAAACCGAATACGATAGAAGCGAGTTGCAAAAAGCCGGAAACAATACCAAATCACTGTGGAATCACATAAAGTCTGTAACTTACTTAGCCAAACAGCGTGAATCAAATTCAGGCCTTTTGTGCAGTGATAACACACCACTGATATCAGCTAACAATGTAAACAACTACTTTGTTAACGTAGGTAAAAATCTTGCAGACCAGATAGTGAGTAATTCGCCAAGCACACAGTCGCCTGTGCATTTTACAATTACAAACCAGAAAAAATCCTTTGTGTTGCTTGATACAGATGAAAATGAAGTAGCTAGAATAATCTCTGGACTAAAAGATGACTGTGCGGTCGGCTGTGATAATATAAGTAACAGAATAATAAAACGTTGTAAGAGTATACTAGTGCCCCTTCTAACCTACATATTCCGCTTATGTCTATCCAAAGGAACCTTTCCTACATCCCTAAAAAAAGCTTTAGTAATACCTATCTTTAAATCAGGAAACAAAAAGCTTGTAAGCAACTACAGACCAATATCCATTCTGCCCTCGTTATCCAAAATATTAGAAAAAATTATAAACACCCGTTTAGTAAATTATCTGGAGAAAAATGGCCTGATTTCACCCAGGCAATTCGGCTTCAGATCAAAACTGTCTACAGCGGACGCTGTTCATAGCCTAACTAATTTCGTATCTGAAGAACTTGGTAAAGGCAATCACTGCTTAGCAATTTTTATAGACCTAGCCAAAGCATTTGATACTGTTTCTATTCCTCTTCTTTTACATAAATTGGAAGCAATAGGCATAAGGGGTACACAACTAACACTACTAACAAACTATCTAAATGATCGCTCTCAATGTGTTCGAATTGATACGACCACAAGTGAAGACCGAGGGAACCATGGTTTTGGATTACCACAAGGTAGTATTCTCGCCCCGACCCTCTTCCTTATTTATATTAATGATCTCTGTAATTTAAACATACAAAACGGAAAAATAATATCATATGCAGACGACACAGCGCTTATTTTTACCGCAAAAACAATCACAGAACTCTATGAGAACGCTCAGAGGGAATTTAATTCTGTAAATAACTGGCTAAACTACAATTTACTAACACTAAATGTTGACAAAACAAAGTACTTGCTCTTTTCCATGCGTAAAAATCAAACTAACACTACTAACGATGAACTTACAGTGCATAAATGTAATGCCCTCTCGACATACCCCTGTGAATGTCCTAAAATCCTCAAAACTCGTCACATAAAATATCTAGGCATCATTATTGATGACACACTTTCTTTCCGGCCACACATTGAGAGTTTGGTATCCAGAGTACGCAAACTTATGTTTGTATTTAAAATATTGCGAAAAATTGCCGATACTAAATTAATAACTCAAGTGTACATGGCACTATGTCAGTCCATTATCACTTATTGTATTACCTCATGGGGTGGTGTACCTAAAACCTCTATGCTGTCTTTGGAACGAGCACAGAGAGCAATATTAAAAGTAGCACACTCCTATCCTTTCCTTTTCCCCACAGAACAACTATACAAATCCTGTAAGGTACTAACTGTAAGGCAACTATACATAACGCAAGTAATATTGAAGCAACACACGCAGATCCCTTATGATACCAACACTGTAAAGAAGAGACGAAATGATATAGTTTGCAGTTCGCACTCGACCTCAAAATTTATGTACAGTAATAAATTCTATAGTTTTCTAGGACCCTACTTATATAATAGGCTAAATAAGCAACTTTGTATTTACAACTTGAATTGCTATCAATGCAAAAAACGTGTCAGCACATATTTGCAACAACTGACTTATGACCAGACCGAATTTTTGCTGACTGTATGTAAATAAAATTAGAAACAAGTTAATTTATTAAGTGATTAGGTATACATTTCTATATATAGGTAAAATTTGAGTAATCAAATAATTTAATATAAGAATGATTATATAATTATTGTTAATTAGACCTTAAGTTCTCTATTCTAAGCGGTTTTTATTGCCTGAGGTACAGGTTTCAAACCTAGTTCAGGCACATGGAATAACATAGCAGCATATAGAATTAAGACATACGAAACTTCTGTTTATATTTTTTGAATAAATTATTTTATTTAAAAAAAAAAAAAAAAAAATAGGTAACAAACTATCTAAATGATCGCTCTCAATGTGTTCGAATTGATACGACCACAAGTGAAGACCGAGGGAACCATGGTTTTGGATTACCACAAGGTAGTATTCTCGCCCCGACCCTCTTCCTTATTTATATTAATGATCTCTGTAATTTAAACATACAAAACGGAAAAATAATATCATATGCAGACGACACAGCGCTTATTTTTACCGCAAAAACAATCACAGAACTCTATGAGAACGCTCAGAGGGAATTTAATTCTGTAAATAACTGGCTAAACTACAATTTACTAACACTAAATGTTGACAAAACAAAGTACTTGCTCTTTTCCATGCGTAAAAATCAAACTAACACTACTAACGATGAACTTACAGTGCATAAATGTAATGCCCTCTCGACATACCCCTGTGAATGTCCTAAAATCCTCAAAACTCGTCACATAAAATATCTAGGCATCATTATTGATGACACACTTTCTTTCCGGCCACACATTGAGAGTTTGGTATCCAGAGTACGCAAACTTATGTTTGTATTTAAAATATTGCGAAAAATTGCCGATACTAAATTAATAACTCAAGTGTACATGGCACTATGTCAGTCCATTATCACTTATTGTATTACCTCATGGGGTGGTGTACCTAAAACCTCTATGCTGTCTTTGGAACGAGCACAGAGAGCAATATTAAAAGTAGCACACTCCTATCCTTTCCTTTTCCCCACAGAACAACTATACAAATCCTGTAAGGTACTAACTGTAAGGCAACTATACATAACGCAAGTAATATTGAAGCAACACACGCAGATCCCTTATGATACCAACACTGTAAAGAAGAGACGAAATGATATAGTTTGCAGTTCGCACTCGACCTCAAAATTTATGTACAGTAATAAATTCTATAGTTTTCTAGGACCCTACTTATATAATAGGCTAAATAAGCAACTTTGTATTTACAACTTGAATTGCTATCAATGCAAAAAACGTGTCAGCACATATTTGCAACAACTGACTTATGACCAGACCGAATTTTTGCTGACTGTATGTAAATAAAATTAGAAACAAGTTAATTTATTAAGTGATTAGGTATACATTTCTATATATAGGTAAAATTTGAGTAATCAAATAATTTAATATAAGAATGATTATATAATTATTGTTAATTAGACCTTAAGTTCTCTATTCTAAGCGGTTTTTATTGCCTGAGGTACAGGTTTCAAACCTAGTTCAGGCACATGGAATAACATAGCAGCATATAGAATTAAGACATACGAAACTTCTGTTTATATTTTTTGAATAAATTATTTTATTTAAAAAAAAAAAAAAAAAAATAGGCTCATCCCCTATTACATGGGACTCATAACATAAATAGTGAAAAGTGGGTGTTACATTGTACAGTGGCATTAAGTGCCGTAATGTGCACCTCTGCCTACCCCGATAAAAGGCGTGATGTTATGTTATGGTTTCATTAAAGTAAAGTTCAAAATAAAGCCACTGACAATTTGGTCTTCATTCTCAAGTCAATATTCGCATTCGTGAACAGATATAACGTCTGCAGATATTCGCATTCGAGAATGTCTAAAAAATTACCTCTACATTCCTTAAATCGTTACACTACTTTGTCACTGTTCTGTTGAGAACGTGTTATGATAAACGTGTCGAAATGAATTCTATTAATGCATCTCAACCAGATACGAAAAAATGTAGGAAGTACCTACCTATAGCAAGTGTAAATTAATTTTTCAACAAGGTCAACATCGATATCATCGTCCATGAAAGGTTAACGACTATCTATCACTGGCTGTGCCGGTCGCCACCGCAACACAGGTTCGTGTAGATACCTAACTAAAAATAGACTATAGGACCCTGATCCAACTACCGTGTTATTTGTAGGAAAAATTTTTCATTAAACATTGTTATGCTATTTAATTATTAGCCCGAAATTAGTAAACTATTTTTTAATAGGTATAACGATACAAGAGCTTACTAAAAGAATCACATCTTTTAAGATTAATGAAGATTGATTAAAAAATGCAGAATCGTTTTGGGATTATTCTTAATTTCTAGACTCCTCTTATTTTATTAAAGATCCAAGACAAAGGCGGTTCTTAGTGAAACCCACGTTCTTATATCTTATCTTATTCTTATACTATTAGGTACCTACTAGATGTGCCCGCGACTTCGTTTTCATGAAATAATAATTCACAGCTCCTCCCCCGTAGATGATACCGTGATAATATTTAGCCTATATGACCCAACCTATTAGTAATGTTCATGCAAAATTTGAAGTAAATTCATGCAGTACTTTTTGAGTTCATCCCGGACATGCATACAGAAAAACAGACGAAAATTATAAAGACCATATTTTTGGCTTCGGTATCCATTAGTTAGGTAGACCACGCCGAAAAAAAATATGAAAGGTAGGAAAGTGGAAACTGTACATTGAGTACAGTTTTCACTTTCCTACGATTTTATTATATGTATAGAGCTGAAGTTTGTTTATTTGTTTATACGCGCTAATCTCAGGAACTACCGGTCTGATTTAAAAAAAATACTTTTGTGTTGGAGAGTCAATTTATCGAGGAAGGCTATAAAACATCACACTACGATCGATAGACGCTCAGCAGAGCAGGTGAAACTGCGCGGAAGTAGCTATTTGAAATCGTGTTTAATATGTGGGGGCAAATTATGTAAGTAGGTGGTATTTACCTACCCATTAATCAAAAACAAAACTTTCACTAGGAATACACATTTTAAGTCCTATTGAACTTCTAAACGGCCGAGACGACATAAGTGTGGGACAGACATTAAAGTGTACTGGTTCGACCAGAGCGATGGCCTCACCGAAAACCGACGTGAAACAACGCTCTCACGTCGGAGTAAGGTTACCGGAAGCCCAATTACCCTTCAACCCCTTCCCTATCTCTCCAATCCCCGAAACTCCAACAATCGCCAAAATGCTGGTAACGCACTTGTAACGCCTCTGGTGTTTCGGGTCTTCATGGGCGGCGCCAATTGCTTACCATCAGGTGATCTGTCTGCTTGTATACCAAAATATCCCATAAAAAGGTGCCCTGTATGAATCACCTATTTATTATTCAATATGTTTATTACTCTGTTATAGACCTTATATCCTTATGCATGCAGTGATAGGAGCGATTAGATGGTATCTACATACCATATGCCATAAATTAATCAATAAGTAGCATATCATTAAATTTCCTTGCACTGTTGATTCAAATAATTATTAACTCTTTGCCTGCTTATTTGCCGACACCTAAGATGACTGAATCAATCTCCTCACTGACATAGTAAAATGTAAAAATCATTGACTGGTTTTAGTAGATAAATCATGAGTCTTACATGGTTGTTATGAATGATGGTGACATGCTTACTGTTATTAAAAGATAACTTGTCTCGTTTTGCATGTGGAATTCTGCAGGTTCCAAATACTTTTTTATATTGGGCCATATCCAGAGGATTCTTACCCATCATCTCAACAGGTATTTTGTCACTGAAAATAAAAATAAAATATGGATACCTAATACTGGTAATGGCTACACTGGTCAAGTAGGCAGGGGAGTACAATCTGTACTGCAATAATTATCAATAAATAATACTTATTATGTGATTGGAGAGACCTTCCTAAACATGTGTCTTCAATTATGATTTAGTACGTAAATCTGATTTCATTGGGAACTAGGTTGTGATTACGTTTTTGTTTCGTATCAAAAAACCTAATATTGGTAAATATTTCACAGTCCAATTTATTTATTTATTTTTATTTATTTATTTATTTGTATTTATTAATTTGAATAATTTATTGTGGTAAGTAAATATATGTTAATAATAGAAAACTCACTTATCTATTAAGCTCTTGTAACTTAAAGCAGCCAACAAAGTCTTAGCAGCATACACCAATTGGTCATTTTGAGTTTGAAACTTTCTAAACGGGAAAACAAGTCCAGGGCTGGAATACACAACAACGGGGTCGCGGTATTCTAGGTAAGCAGTATTCAGCCACCAATCTTCAAGCCAATTCAGATGTTCCTGTGCCCTCTTCTCTAACAAAACCTAAAAATATTCAACTAAGTATATAACATTGAAATGAAATGAAAATAATTTATGTTTGCAAACAGATTACAAAGTAACACTTAAATGGAAATATTTAAATTAAACTAATAAATGGGGCCAGCATTTCTAGTCAGGGAAGAAATACCATAACATACTTACAGGTCATAAATTTATTTCAAAGTATAAACAATAAAATGGAAGAACAGTGCAAGTTGGTTCTGTAAGTGGTATCTTGAGGAAAGAACCACAACAGTTTCAGCACCTGTTCGGCTGGACATACAATTAGCTCAACTAACAGGTGTGGCTGAATAATCCAAACATTTGGATGAGTTGTGTTGTTTAAAATAAATATGAATGTATGAGTCTCCCAACTTAGGTAGTTGTCATTCTAGATCTAAAAACAAATAGAGAGTAATAATGGAGAAACTAGTAATAAACAAATATGATACCTGTAACTGCTGTCCTGTCCCTTTCTCGAAGTCTCTTACAAGAGCTGTAGTTCTTGCATACTCCTCATCACTTAAAAAGGGCCTTACGGTAAGTAAATACTTCTTCAATGTGTCAGCAAGTTTTGGTACTGGTAATGATGGTAGTTTTTGTACATTTCTATTTGTTTTGGCAGAAGTGTAATTACAAGATAATTGCATGGAAGTCACATATGGCTCCAAGATAAATCCCTTATGACCAAACTGAAATAAAAAAAGATCAGATACTTAGGTACTTTATCCTTAGTAGGATATTATAATAGTATAGGTAATACATTATTATTAGGCAAGTAAATACATTCAGTTGGTATAATCTAAAAGTGTTAAGATATATTAAAATTTAAAATTATTTAAAATATTTATACATACAAATCTACTAATCCCACGCAACATTCTGGTATTTTCCTGAAATTAAAAGAACATAAATATATATAAACATAGAATCCGCAGTAAATCCCCATCCAATACAATAAAGAATTGAAATTTAATAACACATTATATAGAGAAAACAAATGAAAATAAAATTATCTCTAGACCTGGTGAAAAATATTGCATAAAATAAATCACATTACTTATCTAAACACAATTAAAATCTAAGAAGTACAAAAAATTCAAAGTTCAATAAATTGCCAAAAAACTTACTTCGCAATCTTGATAGCGAGACACCTGTACTTTGACACTAGTCAACATCTGTTTATCTATTCTACCAACAGTACAATATCGACATAGGTACCTACAAGCACACAGTAAAGAATAGAAATACTGTGCTACAAGCTTTAAGGCACAATCGATCCAATTATACAAATATCTACGTGAGAATAATGATTTTACTTGTTACATTAGCTTGGTAAAATGAAAATGACCCATACGTTCTACTAATCAACTTAGACTATCGCAGTAAAACTGCTATAAACTAATACGTGTACTGTGTTTATAAGATACGGTACCTATCCACCGTATCGTACTTTGTAATAAGGATGGGTAATAATAGGATAATGTAGCAATAGAGCAGTGTACAAAATTCAAAATTCAAACCTATTAACATGTAACTCTTACGATCTATGTACACTAAGGCATAAATTACAAGAATGCAAGGTTGATACTTTCGAACCAAAGACAAAAAGAAGTAATTTTGTTTAAACTTTTGAAACCATCGATAAGATTGGTATAGTCGTATAGTCCAAAGAGTAGAATATGTCCCTTTCTTTGGTCTTTCATGGGTGACATTATGTGAGAATGTCACATAATTTGTCATGCATTTTACGCTCGTTTTATTTTATAGAAATCATAAAATAAATATTAGCAACTAGCTGTGCCCGCGACTTCGTTCGCGTGGTTATCGAAAACAAAACGACATTGTTTAGATATATACTACATGGGCTATACACATATGAACTCCACTCAAGAAGGTGGTATAGTATTTTTATTTGCCAATAAAGATCCTGACTATAGTATATTTTTATTTGGTAATATTGGTATCTAGTTGATTACATTAATGCTTCCCGATATACTATATTAGCAGTTGAATTAGCCGGAGCATTATACAAAAAAGTTTTTGTTTTTTTTTCTTTGAAGCATTTTTGAGGGCAAGCAATATACAAAACCGACAAAATTTTAAAGATCGGTGCGTCGAACAGTCTCCTATGATAGCAAATTGTCTATTCGTAGTCACGACATAACGAATTCGTTACACTCACTGTAACGATTGGCACTATTCAAACTCAGAAGTAAATACTTCTACTTTATGGATGATACATACGTATTTACTGGTACAGGTATAATTACCTAGTTTGAGCTTAGCAGTACGCATACTGGGTATGTAAGCAGAAACCCGGTCCCTATTCGTTCTGTTCGTATTCATGACCTTTGATCTCGTGTAAAATGCCGACATCGTCTAAAGTTTATAGTTTAGACAGTAACGCATCGGCCAGGGTTGTCAAAAATATGAGCATATGGCACCGACCAAATGTCTGTCAGTGGGTGAGTAATCAGTACTAATATGGTTATTTTTTTGCTTTTTAGTTTTAACTTTTTATTTGTTTTTAGTTTTTAGGTTTTTTGAGAAGTCGGTTTTTTAAACGCAGTTTTTTTAATTTTATCAATTTTAGTGTAAAACCACATAGACTCGTTTTGCCACTTATAATCCACGAAGGTGCAAAGTTCTAATCAATACAAATTATAAAAACCCAAACACAATGTAGTTACGTGAAAACGACACTCATGACGATAAATTGAAAATTTCATGCAGCCGCCATCTTGGATTTAGATTCCGACGGCGCCATCATTTTCACCGCCCTCAAAAACCATGAAAACGATACCCATACGATAAATTAAAAATTTCGTGCAGCCGCCATCTTGGATTTACATTTTGACAGCACCATGGGTTTTACCACCCTCGAAAACCATGAATACGATACCCACGACGATAAATTAAAAATTTCGCGCAGCCGCCATCTTGGATTTACATTTTGTCAGCACCATAGGTTTTACTACCCTCGAAAACCACGAAAACGACACCCATGACGATAAATTAAAAATTTCATGCAACGGCAAACATACATAAAAAACTAAAATGGTTGCCTGTAAAGTCGTTTTTACGGGCGAAGATTTTATGTGACAACGTCTTTTTCTCGGTAGAATATTTATTGATATGAATATAATTAAATTGCACAATAGGAACAAGGAATTGAATGAACTAGTGCTGCGCGCGCGGCAGACCGATCATAGTTGAGTGGGAGAGAGACGCAAGGCATTCGGCGGGCCTCTCTCTCGTTCGGTGACTCATCGTAACGTTACCGAGCGTTACACTTTTTCATAAGTGACTCCCAGCCGCAACCTAATTTAAGACGTTGTCACGTCAAAAAA